GAGTGTGCAAGCGCACGTTGGCCCACGTGAGCGTCTTTGTGGTGCACATCCAATGTGCACGATGGCACGGAGTGCACCGGAGCTGGCGTGTGCAAAGGCACGAGCAGATGGGCGCTCAGCGTGCAACCCGGCACCCGCAAGCGCGTGTGTGTGCACACCCGCACCCAACAGGCATCCCTGTGTGCGCACACCCGCACTCAACAGGCATCCCTGTGTGTGCACACCCGCACCCAACAGACATTCCCATGTGTGCACACACACACGCAACAGGCATCCCCACGTGTGTGCACACCCGCCCCCAAAAGGCATCCCTGAGTGCGCACACCCGCACCCAACAGGCATCCCTGTGTGTGTGCGCACACCCGCACCCAACAGGCATCACTGTGTGTGTGCGCACACCTGCACCCAACAGGCATCCCCGTGTGTGTGCACACCCACACCCAACAGGCATCCCTGTGTGTGTGCACACCCGCACCCAACAGGCATCCCCGTGTGTGTGCGCACACCCGCACCCAACAGGCATCACTGTGTGTGTGCGCACACCCGCACCCAACAGGCATCCCCGTGTGTGTGCGCACACCCGCACCCAACAGGCATCCCCATGTGTGCGCACACCCGCACCCAACAGACATCCCTGTGTGTGCACACCCGTACCCAACAGACATCCCTGAGTGCGCACACCCGTACCCAACAGGCATCCCTGTGTGTGTGCACACCCGCACCCAACAGGCATCCCCATGTGCGCACACCTGCACCCAACAGACATCCCTGAGTGCGCACACCCGTACCCAACAGGCATCCCTGTGTGTGTGCACACCCGTACCCAACAGGCATCCCTGTGTGTGTGCACACCCACACCCAACAGGCATCCCTGTGTGTGTGCACACCCACACCCAACAGGCATCCCTGTGTGTGTGCACACCCGCACCCAACAGGCATCCCCATGTGTGTGCACACCCGCACCCAACAGACATTCCCATGTGTGCACACCCGCACCCAACAGACATCCCCGTGTGTGTGCGCACACCCGCACCCAACAGGCATCCCCGTGTGTGTGCGCACACCCACACCCAACAGGCATCCCTGTGTGTGCGCACACCTGCACCCAACAGACATCCCTGAGTGCGCACACCCACACCCAACAGGCATCCCCGTGTGCACACACCCGCACCCAACAGGCATCCCTGTGTGTGTGCGCACCCACACCCAACAGGCATCCCCACATGTGCACATCCACACCCAGCAGGCACCCCTATGCGTGTGCACACCCGCAACCCCCTCGGCCAGCAAAGACACCCCACAAGCACTGTAGAAAACACCCCCCGCGCACGGCGGCGGCGGCGGCAACACCTTTATTGGGGCGCCGGCCGCGGTCCCCTCACTTCCTGCCCTTCTGCTTCATGTGCACCACGAAGTAGTCGTTGCAGGCGATGGTGAGCCCCGCGAGCAGCGAGAAGAAGCCCTGGAAGCCCACGCGCCCRTCGCGGCACTGGTCCAGGTCCTTCATGATCTTGTCCAGCGCCATGGGGTCCCTCTGGTTCTGCGGGGACACGGGGTGAGAGCGGGGCGGGGGCGGGAGCGGGGTGCGGCGCCGGGAGCGCTCCTCACCTCCAGGAATCCCGGGAACTCCTTGTCCATGAGCGCGCGCAGGTCGTCCTTGGCCAGGTAGTTCTTGTCGCCCGCGTATTTGTGGAAGGTGAACATGAGCGTCTCCATGGCGTGCTCCAGCTGCGAGGGCATGGTGGCTGCGGGGGGCACGGGTGGCGCTGCGGGAACACCGGCGGCGCTGCGGGGACACGCGCGGGAACACGGGCGTCACCGCAGGGCAGGGGACACGGGCGGCGCTGCGGGGATATGGGCGGGGACACGGGCATCACCGAGGGGTGGGGGACACAGATGGCACCGTGGGGACGTGGGTGGCGCTGCGGGGACGCGGGCAGGGACGCGGGCGTCACGGCGGGGCGGGGACACGGGGACATCGCGGGACGGGGGACACGGGGCGCGGGGCGGGGACATCGCGGGACGGGGGACACGGGCGTGGGGCGGGGGACACGGGGACATCGCGGGACGGGGGGCACGGGGCGGGGACACGGGGACATCGCGGGACGGGGGGCACGGGGCGCTCGGTGACTCAGCGCTGGCATCGCCAGCGCGGGGGGAAACGAAACCGCCGCCCCCCCCCCGCCAGAGCGAGGGGCCCAGGCGTCCTGCCCATCCTCTCTCCCCCCCACCCCCCCCGCGTATTTCGGGAGGGGCCCCTGGCAGCGGCCGCGGGTGATGCAAGCGCGGGGCGCGCCCGCCCCCGCGGGGCCGCTTCCTGCGCCCGGACGCCTGGGCCCGCCCGCGGGGCCTCCGCCCTGCCCCGGTGTCCCCCCGGGGGGGGCTGGCCCGGGATGCGGCGGCGCTCCAGGAATTTCCCTGGGATGAAGACAGGAACTGGCTCCGCTCCGGCTGCCCGCGGCGGAACGCGGGGATGGGGGGACACCCACGGAGCGGCCCCCCCGCCTCCCGGCGGGAATGGGGAATGTCGCCCGGGGGGCGGATCCGCCGCCAAGGGGGAGGGGGGGCTCCGCCCTGGCGGCGGGGAGGGGGGGCGGGAAGGCGGGTGACCACCCCCCCCCAGTGTCCCCAAGCAGAGGGGGGGGCGCTGAGGGTCCCCCCGTTTGGTGCAGGGTCCTCTTGCAAATGGGGGAGCAGGTGGGGGGGTCCCCCTCTTCGGGGATAGGATTGGGGACCCCCTCTTGGGGGGGGACAAACGGGTCCCCCCCCAAGTGTGGGGCAGGACCAGGGCCCCCCAGTGGGGTCGCTCCGGGGATTCCCACAGGGGAGCAGGGAGACCGTAGAGGGACAGAAGGGCGGGTCCCTGCAGGAGTGCGGGATGGAGGGGGCGCCGGGGGGCCCGCGGGTCCCTATAGGGGGCAGCGGGTGCCCTATAGGGGGTCAGCGGGAGGGCCCTATAGGGGGTCAGCTGGGGGTCCTCATAGGGGTTCAGCAGGGGGWCCCTATAGGGGKYCMKCAGGGRGTCCC